CCCACCGAGACTGTTACATGGCCTCCCGTTGTTCAGACTACCTGAGCCACCCGTAACGGACACCCCTGAGACGACAACAGCACCTCCATCGTCCTCTGAGACAGTCACTTGGCCTCCCGTTGTTCAGACGACCGAGCCACCTGTGAAAACGGCCCCACCCTCCGAGACGGTCACCTGGCCCCCCGTAGTTCAGACTACCGAGCCACCCGTGAAAACCGCTCCGCCTTCCGAGACCGTCACCTGGCCTCCCGTTGTTCAGACGACAGCGCCCCCATCCTCCTCCGAGACGGTCACCTGGCCCCCTGTAGTTCAGACTACCGAGCCACCTGTCAAAACTGCCCCTCCCTCTGAGACTGTTACATGGCCTCCCGTTGTTCAGACTACCGAGCCACCCGTGAAAACCGCTCCGCCTTCCGAGACCGTCACCTGGCCTCCCGTTGTTCAGACTACCGAGCCACCTGTGAAAACTGCTCCGCCTTCCGAGACGGTCACCTGGCCCCCCGTAGTTCAGACGACAGCGCCTCCATCTTCCTCCGAGACGGTCACCTGGCCCCCTGTAGTTCAGACTACCGAGCCACCTGTCAAAACTGCCCCTCCCTCTGAGACGGTCACGTGGCCTCCTGTGGTTCAGACTACCGAGCCACCCGTGACGGACACTCCCGAGACGACAACAGCGCCTCCATCATCCTCCGAGACGGTCACGTGGCCTCCCGTTGTTCAGACGACTGAGCCACCCGTGAAAACGGCCCCACCCTCCGAGACTGTCACCTGGCCTCCCGTTGTTCAGACAACCGAGCCACCCGTGATTGATACTCCTGAGACCGTGACGGATGTGCCCACATACGAAACGCAGCCTCCAGTCTACACCCCGACACCGGACCAGGGCACTGAGGAAACCCCGGCCCAAACTCCATGCCCCGACACTGATGAGGTTTACACACCAATGCCGACTCCGGATGATGACAATGAAGAAACGCCAGCGACAGAGGCACCGTACGGCACGCCCGAGACGCCAACCGAAGAACCGGATGATGACACTGAAGAAACGCCAGCGACAGAGGCACCGTACGGCACGCCCGAGACGCCAACCCAAGAACCGGTAGATGACAACGAAGGAACTCCCGCGACAGAGGCACCGTACGGCACGGTGGAGCCACAAACTGAAGAACCGGTAGATGACAATGAAGGAACCCCAGCGGACACTGACGCTCCGGACTACGACTCGGATGCTCCAGGAACGGTGGTTGTTATTGACGAGGAACCCGACACCCAGGAAACCACGAGCCAGGAGCCCGAGACCACGTACCCAACCGGTCGCAGCCTTCGCCGCAACTAACGACGAAGTCGCCACCAGTACTTTGCTTCCATTTGAGGCATTTGAGTCGACGATCTCGGGAATTGCTGCTTCGTAGTGTTTCGTGTTTCCATTCATTCACAGCTGTTCTGTCGCCAGTAGACTTGACGCTATGCACGGGTAAATAAATACATACATATTCATTTCATGACTTTCGTTCAATCAAAACCATATTTTCTTGACAATAATTTTTGAACAATTTCACTTTTTTACAGTCGTGCTAACCTGCATGGTACGGCGCAGTTGATTGCTGTTCTACATCATCAACTACGGACGTACATACACCACTAACTGAAGACTCCGTCGCCGTCGAATAGGCCGCATCACGGAAATACGAGGCATCGTACATGAAAGCCTCGGACCCCCAATTCACTAGCTGTTGTGTCATGCGGAACTCGAACACGCTATTGTCCCGTGGTCTTCACCACTCGCCAGTGGAAAATCCTAGTAGTTACCGCCATCAGCACAATGAAGACCGCCTTGGTTTCGGTGCTCGCACAGTCATCTTTGCATTTCGTCGCGAGCTCTGTAGAAAGTGTAATAAATGCTAGATAAATGACTTGCGCTACTTGTGCATAATTCAACGCCATGAAGACAAGTACGTAAGCTTTGTAGTCTAGTTCGTGTAGCCGCTGACATGCGAGCAAACCAATGACCCCCGTGAGGATACCCACTATCGGAACGGAGTAAGCTTGCCATGCGAACCACGCACAACATGTCAGCGCGTACACCAGGATCATCCACCCACACAGCCACCGGACACACTCGACTGTCGTCATCCCCACGTCTGTATACATTGTTGCCAAGTGTCTGCAGATTCCGCCGCTGAACGGACTTTCACTTGCTTCCGACTGAAGACGCGTGCGCTGTCCCTCGCCATCGAACATCACTCCGCTATTACGCTCGCTGAAGAACTGACTGGGTTCGAGTCTTGCCGTGGCGAAAATACGTGGGAAATGATTGTCACGAGTGGGATTCGGTTGTTGCCGGACCGGGGTGATGCCAATCGGGCCGCGCGTGGAATCGCCAAAAGACGGAGTACACGTCTAGGTCGCAACGGTCTTGGCTCTCGGGTTGTAGCGGACTGGGAAGCAGGTTTCTGGGCTTGCAATGACTTGGTGACATTGCTTAAAGAGCTCACTGTTATTAATAATAAGAAGCTCGTTCTTGAGGGTATCCGTCGAGGTGTCGACAATTGCCAGTTTTGCTACACCGTGTGGATACACTCAAGCAATTTTCCTCCAATTAGAACCTACCGCCACCGCCGCGTAAAAAACGGACGAGATCAACTTTCCAGTTTTGCTCATTAATTTCTAAGCTGTGGAGTCCACCAAGCTAAAGCTAACGTTAGCAGAGAAGTCTGCCCTCGTGTCCGTTTTGCGCGGACATGACCAAGCTGGGAGCTTTAGCAAGTCGATTTCGGCCTATGTCCGATGGCGAGCTAGCATGTAAATCTGTAGCTTGAGTGCCAGGCAATTATTACCATAGTCCAAAAATAGGGGATGAAATATAATATTGACCCCATTTTATCCAGATTTCAGATTCAAGTTTTGTAAATATTTGGCAACAGGCTGTCCTCAAGGAGTGCTTGACATCTCTTCTAATCGAATTTCGTTTAAGACACCAAACAAGATGAAAAAATTCGTGCCACTTGGACAAAGGCCTAATTATGAGCTGAGCTCAAATAAAAAAACGCTGAGCTAAACTACAAAGGCTTTAGCATTTTCCGTGAAGTCGTTTAAAAAAAGATGCGTCATTAAAGCTTTCAATATAAAACAGATTTTTCGTGCGTAACTCGTTTTAAAAAAATGTAAGCATCAAATGCAGCAATATAAAACAGATAGACTCGCACTGCTTTTCGTTTCAATAATCGTTGAGCTATAGATCCGTTGAGCAGCTCACATTTGCTTTTAGGCAGGGCAGTTGAACAGTTCATGCGACTGTTCTATCATCATCCAAATTCTTTGTAAATCGCAGTATTGACAACAGGGAAAAGCTTCACCCGGCTAATAAAAGCACTTCGACACTAGAGACGAAAATAGCTAAAACACCGACGGAAGATTTAAAATACCGTCTCCATGGGAAGGTGTCGTTGGTGCGCTGGTATCATTGATCCCCCCCCATGCTTTATTCATTCCAAAAAACACTTCGAAGCAAGCACCAAGGCGACCACAACAACCAGAGACGACCTCGACGCTAACATGAAGATCATCACTCCATCAGCTTTCGCACTCGTCTGCCTCCTAGCAAATGTGTCGGCGCGAAACTTTACCGCTCCGACTGGTGGCACCAATAAGAACAACATCACGACGGCTGCCGTCTTCGACAGCAAGGGCGCCAACATGGAAGTCTGCCCCTCTGGTGATTGCGCCAACGGCAAATTCATGAAACTCTCGGTAGCCAGTCTTACCGAGCTGGACAAAGACGGAAAAGAGGTAGCAGCTGTCACCAAATTCAGCCCCAAAGACAGCGACTGGACTACTATTAAAGAGGAGACGATCAATGACGTCAATGCGTCTTCAACGACACTTGTGTCCTCGATCGAGGTTGGTAGCTCCAAGACTAAGGTGGAGTTCAACCTTACTGCAACAATCTTCCAAGGTGACGCTACTGTGACATACGGTAGTCAAAGTCTGACGGTGCCTGCTGGAGCGTTAAAGTTCACAGTGGACATGAACACTTGGCCGTTTGGCGACCCCGCCAACACGCTGACTCTTGCTGTCAAGCTGGATTCGAAGGGCCCCAAGGGCAAAGACATTGGCAAGCCAGAGAAGAAGCCAAAAGGTAGCAGTAAGGGCAATGTTACTGTCGAGCGCGTGGACCTGGGAGACTCTATGTTTATGGATGCACCCTCAATTGTCATTCTTGACGGTGTGGAGAAGAATGTGACCAACTCTTCCGTCGTCGTTGCAAATGCCGACACGTTGTTCGAGTGGGTTTTCCCACACTTCGCGAAGACGCTACACTACGACCCTGTACTTGGCGACGCAAGTACCTCGAACACAAGCACGAACACAAGCACGGACACGAGCACGAGCAGCAGCGGTAGCTCTTCCGAGTCTTCATCCGGGTCCTCGTCCTCGTCATCTGCTTCCAAGCTGTCTCTGTCGGGCCTTGCGGCTGCTGGCCTTACCGCACTCGCTTACAGTCTCTTCTAAGGATCAGATAACTACGATACTGGTACTGAAGCTCAATGAAGCTCAAAACTTCATTTGCAATTATCTACAGAACAATCTTAATTGAAAGCTCGCTTACCTTCATTTTAGCTTAACTTTGTGCCTACTTCAGCGACTTCTTCGACTAGCAATCTGTGGTGGTTAATATTTTCCCGGTAATTTCTTTTTATCGCGTGTTAACCCACGTGCGTGCGTGTGCGCCACGCCAATCCTGTCCATCAAAGCCTTTTTTTTCAAAGGCCGACTGAGCTCACGTCGCATACTGCTGTGGTGGACTTCAATACGGGCCCCCATATGACATTGTCAATTTGACTGTACAAAACAGTACATGTATTGGTCCGCCCGAGGTGTCACCGCATGGCATGCAGTTGCATGCGGCGCATGCAACTGTCATCTGACTGTAGCTTCGAGTATTTTGGTGTAGTCAATTCTCGATAATTGCTGGTAAGACAGACGACCACCTAACTGCGCTTTACTCGAAAAGCGTCTTCCGAATGCTTTCGCGCGCGTCTGATGTAATACCTGACCAATGATCAAGCCGTCTATGACCATGGAGCGCAATGCCTCCTCTACTCAGTGCCGCACTCTGCCCTCGCGGCTGCGTCGCGCCTGGCTCTAAACTCTCCGAGATTCCTTAGCGAAGTGGTTGCGATGGATGGCACTCTTTCCAGCGTTTCGCATAGCCCTGATATGTGTAAACAAGGCTGTCGCCTGCATGTTGTTGTCGATCCACAAACAACTCAGTGTGTGTGTACAGTTCCGCCTTGCCGAGCCTCGTACAGTAGACATCAAGAAGAAACAGTACTCATACTGAGTAAACACCGCCTGCTAATTTCTACAATGTACATGAGTGTCTACCAGACAGCACCACGTGGTGGACCGAGCTGACCTTGTTGAGCTTTTCCCACCACTGCTTTGGTGATCACGGCTTGACGACGGCTGACCCCGGCGGTACCACGAAGGTCCTGCCGCTATCACATCCGGCGGCATGTCCCAAGGCACCTTTATCTTCGGCTTAGGCGCTGCCTGCACACGCAGGGCTGCTTTTAACCTATAGCTTCGAGTCCAGGGCAATGCAGCGCGCCCCCGGCTTCTTGGTTATCCGATTCATTGCCACAGCATCCTGGCAAAAGTCTGTTTACCGGTGCTGACGAGAAACAAGGCAAACATATTGAAATTGGGAGGAGCATAAATCGAACCAACCAGCTGTTTTCATTGAGACGGGCCGAGGTGAATAATCTGCCTTGCAGCGACGCCAGTAGCGTTTTTAAGCATTTAAAGCCAAGATACACTCTTAATCACCACCAAAGACTTCTCGTAGCAATATTATGGCTCAGTTATTGTATTTCGCTTACAAAACGGTTCCAGATCAGACCTGAGCACAAGTGACCATCACTCGTCGTGTTAAAAATGAGCCGCTGATTAAATCGCCGTCTAAAATACATCCGATCGATTGGCTCAAAATAAAAGGTAGGTTAAAACTGTCACTTGTTTCAAGTTGAGAGCGGTCATACGTCCGCATTCCCACAACTAAATTGACCGTCAACCACGCAAGTCCATTACTCGACATGTCCGACCACGCGTCCGAACCCGACGCGGACGCCGGACTGCCACTGCGTCACCGTCTGTTCCCACGCGCGATGGCTTGGAACGTGCAGCGTCAAAGCGGGTCTCCCACTCCCGAACAGCTCATTTTGGCCGCCGCCCACGTGCTGGAGCAACAGCAGAGTCGCGTCGAAACTTTGGACGTCGCCCGCTCTTTTCCGCTTTTGCAAGCTGCCGTGGTGGACGGGAGCCTCCGGCTAGCGCTAGAGACCCGTAATGCACCTCCCAGACCTGTTACGACCCAAGATAATGAACGCGAACGACTATTTCGTGCCATGGGCAAATACTTGGACGGCACGACCGCCACACAGGCGTCTCCGGTCTACACACAACCGACATCACACTATTACCAGACTCCACCACCTCCTCTCCGCCCTCCATACGGTGGAATGCCGTCTCCAGATCGCATGACGGCCGAGCAACACGCTGCGTTCCAAGCCATGAAAATCTCCAGCTACGCCGACGAGGAGCAGAGGAGCTGGGCCTCACAGAGTCAAGTGCTTAATACGGGGCTGCGGACGCCACCTGCTGTGTCTCTTACACCACCAGGAGTCCACCAAATCAACCTTCGCTCACCTCCGAGTGCCACAAGTGGCAAAAAGAGGACGCGAGGGTCCACGCCCACAGCTTCCTCCTCCTCAGCTGTAGGTAGAGATGAGATCGCACCTTCACTAGCACGCGCCCTACTTACGGGTTGTGGTGCAAAGCAATGTTCCTTTGAAAGCTGCAAGAAAATTGCAGTAAGTAAAGGTCGATGCCGTGGCCATGGCGGTGGCCGTAGGTGTCAACAAACGGGCTGTACTAAGTGCGCACAGAGTCGCAGTCCGTTCTGCTGGGCACATGGCGGCGGCAAGCGCTGCGAGGCGCCAAATTGCCGTCGCAGTCGCAAGACTAAGAGGTTCTGTGTGGATCACGTCGAGATGGAGCTCGCCGTACCTCTAAAACCAGAAGCGGGCAAGACGTCCAAACCCACTTCCAAGTCAAAGTCTGCGACATCATCTTTCAGAGGTAAAACTTCTTCTAGCTCATACGCGAGCGCTGACTCGGACGATAGCGTCGGCAGACAGTCCACCATCTCCTGCGACAGTAGCTTCTCGTCCGTCTACAACAAAGAAAACACGCGCATGACTTCGGTTGACTTTCGTCAGCATCAGTACGCTGGCGAAGTTTCGGGCATTGGCGCGCCGTCTCTGCAGCTTCCCAGTCTAAACGAGGCGCTGCTTCGGACAGTGCCTGCGCAGTATTCGTCTGAAGCGCTGTGGGCGACACGAACGCCGTCGCCGCCAGCTCCCCCCTCGCAATATAAGAGTGGATATCGACCCTGGCCAGCAAATAATGACAAGTAAAAAATAATATTTGCATTTGTGTAGTATGTTTAGATTTTGTAACGGTTAACTGAATAATTTTTGCTAACATCGATGCCCAAAGGAACAGTGTTATTCATGTGTACGACCTTGAGGAAGAATGGGGAAAGTAGGAAGCGAGAGAGACGCAGCACTTAGAGCTTGACCTAAACTGGGCAGCAATTGCGGAGAAGACTGTCGGCGCATCTGATTAGGAGCTGGAACGAAGCGACTCCGACGTGTCCTCGGTACTCGAGAACTTTTACCGAACGGAGTGGGACGAAAGTCGTCTGTCTCGAGGTGCATGTGAGCAACGCAATAGTGTTTCGACCTCCGTGACCGCATACACGTGTCGACGTCACAGCGTTGGCCGCCGCCATGAGCCCAGCAGAACATGCTGCGACTTTGGGCACTTTTGGTGCATCCACCCGCGAAATGGCATCGACGACCTCCGCCATGTCCACGACAGAGTCCTCGACTGACGGACATCTTTGTGCAATCTGCGAACAAGCAACGTTTTTGGACATTGTGGCAGGAAGCTGACAGCGGAGTAGTCTGTGCGTAGCGCTCCAAAATAGATGGGCTTTGTTCGTTGGTCATCATTAATTCAATTGAAGTTGGGTGTACTTGTTTGTGAGCGCTTCCAATTGGAGATACAAAAATCACATGGTCTAGGTGTTCTTGCTGTGCCCAGGAGTGAGTGTTTGCTGCGGAAATAATGGCTGGTTCAAAGATCAACTCCTCGTTGAATACTTGTGCCGAAGACTCGGGGAACAACATGAAGCAACCGACTTGCTGTAGCTCTCTTGGATACGTGGTCTTTTGTAGACGTTGAGGTTGGTCCATGATGCAGAGAGCAGTGTTCGGAAGACTCCAGATCTCTCTGGAGACTGTCAAGTTGGTGGCAAGTCGACGAGTGTCTCAGAGGCTAACCGATGCCCAGTGTTGGCTTCGAACCGCCTCTGCTAACGAACTGTTAGCACTAGCATCACAATAATAGTTTTGAGAATGGGCAGCTCCACCACCATCGTCGTTTTGCGTCCGTTATAAACGTGAGGTCTCATGAAGTGATGGCTTGAACACGTGAGGCCGTTGCCACTATTTTTTATTAATTAAAATTATCTAGAAACGGCATTTGGACTCTGCCCTGTATCATACGTCGGAAACGCTCGAGAAGTTTAGTCGCACTCATTTCACTCCAAATGTTCTCAATTCTTCGTGATAGCATAGCTGAAAGAGCTATGAAAATCCGTCCTAACAATAGGGAGCCAACCGCTAGTTATCTGGTGGCACCTATGGCTTGTGATTTATCTGCAGCGACAGTCTTAGTGCTTGTTTTGTCCGACACGAGCATCAAACGTCCGTTGAGTCAGACAGGAGCGCAACACCGTTCCGAATCCTATGATCGAATTCCGATCATAAGATAGTCCACTTCACCAGCATCCTTGAAACGCTGCATACCTTACGTCCCGATAACGCGGAGCAGTAGTACCTAAGTATTTCGAGTGTACCTATCCAGTAAAAAAATAATTAACAACATTTTGTTTAAAAAAGTGTATCCCACAGTGGGATACACACGTGGGATTCCCACTCGAGAAAACATTTGACAAAAATAGAAGGGCACAGTAAAACACCTCGAAAATCTTTATAGAATAATGTTGTTTGGACTTTGTACTGACCAAATGGATGCCGAATCGTCCGACATATACTGCGAGGAAGATCTTCTGCGTGACGGATGCAGCAAATGTTGCATCGCCGCAGCAATGTCCGCAGCCGTAGGGCGGTCTCTTGGGTCCCTCTGCAAACAGGCATCAGCTATCGCCAAGATCTCTTCGGGACAATTCGCTGAAAACTCGGGTCGGATGTGTCCTGCAGCGACGCGAGCTACAATCTCTGCTTCTTGGATTTTACCTCGTGGTTCATTCGGATAATTGTCGTTCCAATACGGATAGTCGTCCGTGTCGATCTCGGACAAAACCACTCCAAACGAGAAAATATCCGCACGCTCGTCATAGTCTTGTCCACACAAAACCTCAGGCGCTATCCAAAAAGAAGTCCCCACTCCAGCAGTCATGTGCGTCTCGATAGCATACCGCACTCGGGATATTCCGAAATCGCTCAATTTTGCTTCCAGGTACAAGTTGAGCAACACATTTTTGGATTTTAGATCACGATGAATCACTTTTGGACGTTGACAATGCAAATACGCGAGAGCCTCAGCACAATAGGCGCCTTGTGTGTTTCCCAGGAGAGAGGAGTCCCCCGCTCCTTAAAAGTATAAAAAACTTCTCGGAGGTCCCCTTTATTCATATACTCGGTTACAGCAGACAAGTGTCGTATATCATCCCACGCTACTCCGATAAACTCGACGATTCTCGGATGATACAGCACCGCCATCAGTATGATTTCTTTTAGAAACGTTTCTATCTCGGACACCTCTCCACTGCGATCTGGCCGAATCTTTTTTATGGCAACTCGACGGCCTCTGTATTCCCCCGTGAATACCAGTCCGAATCCTCCTTTACTGATACATTTGCCAAGTCTCAGATGTTTATACTCGATCCGGTTCGTCACAATAACTGGGTCATTCAGGAGAACGCGGTCCACGTCACGACTCGTTTCCTCCGAGTAAGATGTACCGGTCGAGTTAACCTTTGAAGACGAGGACAAATGCTCGAGATCACGTCGATGAGAGCATTTCATCCATACAAGAATGATAAAGAGAACAAGCATCACAGCTCCTGCAGTTATACGAGCACTTTGGAATTACTCGAAGAACCTAAAAAAAAAAAATTAATTGAAAACTCACAAAAATTAACTAAACAACATACCTTTGGTTTCGACAGCATCGTTAAGTACGCAAAATTTCACTTCATGCGCAGAATTCCACATTCCGCTCGAGCATGTTGCTGACTCGTCTGGCTGGTCGGACTCGTACGCTCGCAGCGCTGATATAAAGTTGAAGACCGAGGCGGTGACGTTAAAATCGGTAAAGTTGTTGTTCCGAATATAGCTGTTCATCAAAAAGAAAATAATAAAATCGGTCAATCAAAACATTAAGTAATTTTGGGTACCATACAGCTCACTGAGATCGTCAAGGTTGAAGACGACGGAGGGAAAGCTCGTCAATTGATTACCTGTCAGATTTCTGCCAATAAACATTGTTAGAATATAATGCAATACGAACAAAGTAGCAGTACTCACAGAATCTGAACAGCACAGAATTGAGTCGTACAAGTCTTGCTGATGGTGTTGCCTGCGTACGGTTTAGCAAGATTGTTGTCGGAAAAATCTCTAGGTGCACAGACAATCAGAAGTTAGCTTAATAAAAACACCTCTTATCTCATCACGTACAGATACTTCACAGTTTTTAATCCTTGGAAGAAATCGAACCCGAACGTCTCTAGGCCGCAATTGCGCATAGTTCTGCACAATAAATACGTGAGTCGTTGTTCTCCATATTATATCCAGCATTGTTCCACTCTACATTTACAGGTTGAGAGTAGTAGGCGGGAAGAAGTATCCAGTATTCATCACAATGGCTGACATGTCGATGTTCTCGAGACGTCTACGATACAGAAAATCTGTAAGTTCTGACAGATACAGCTGAAAAATCTCCGCACTGTTTAGCGTACACTGCGGTTATAGAGCTCGCGACACTGGTATCCTCTCCATTGACAGCGACAGGAATATTCGATCCCGGTAGAGCGATATCTTGTGGTACGAATGAAATAGACTGAAGTTTATCGCCTACTCCTGTAATTAATCTGTAGCCATAGATAACACACAAACTCTTTAGTAAATATCCAGGTTTTAAGTCGCAACATTAATGAAAACGTACAGAGACATCACAGTGAGCGGTACCAAAAGTGTCCGAATAGCGTCAACAGGCAGCACATTCGTGTCCTTCATGCTAAGCGGATACTCGCTCTCCGTTGTTCTTTCCGTCACGAAAAACTCCCATGACGCGGTGTTATTATAGCTCGTCAGACACGTACACGACGCGTTCAACGCTGTGAAGATACCGGGACACCCGTTGTTCGGTAACGCTTCAGGTGTCCGTCGCTGCAATGACGGTACACCCTCCCCACAGATAAAACCACTAGCCGAGATATTCGAGAGCCTGGAGTTCACACCGACAGCCAAGTACGTGATGTTGGCGGCTAAGTTGGCTTGGAACCAGTCTTGAGCCAGCGTCTCCGCTTTCGTCGTCACTCCAGCATCATTGTCCGAGGAGGACGAACCATGCGCAGCACCTGTCGATAGCAGCAGCGAGAGCCATACGCACCAGTTAATCGCTGACTGTCAATTGATCTTTTACCGAGCGTTCAGATTTCAGTCTGATTGGACTAAGGGCGGCAGGTACATGTAACCAGAGAGCGTTTTAGTCACTGGACGGAAAATATAGAGATCCTCCTCTGGCTTTCCGCTCAAAGTGCGGATACCAAACATGTTGTGCTACTGTCTTGCTGTTGGGTACGGCGACTGTCAACGTCAGTTCAGTCCGACACGAGTTCATGGAAGCGTTTACTGATACATTTTCTATTGGTTTGTCTAGCTTACAGTCCAGTTCAAACCTGACGCGAAGGACGGTGACGAATCCGACGAACTTGGCTGTAGGCTCGAGCGTAAAAATTGTTGGAGGGTTTCGACGACGGCCGTGGCAGTCGGACGGTCGTCGGGGTTCTCCTGTAAGCAACTCTCTGCCAGCAACATGATGCCGGCCGGACAGTTCGTCGAGAAGTGTGGACGTTTATTACCCGTCGCCACCTGTCGTAGGATGTCTGCTTCCTGTAGTTTACCGCGAGGACCATCACGGTTCGCATCGTTCCAGAACGGGTAGTCGTCGGTATCAATCTCGGATAATACCACACCGAACGAGTAGATGTCGGCCTGTTCGTTGTAGTCTCGTCCTAGTAAAACCTCGGGTGCGATCCAGAAGGACGTACCGATCCCTGCAGTCATGGGGTGCGTCTGTACCGTGTACTGCGTTCGAGAGACGCCAAAGTCCGTCAGCTTGGCTTCCAGATGCATGTTAAGTAGTACGTTCTTGGACTTCAAGTCCCGGTGGATCACCTTTGGATTGTGAGAGTGCAAGTGCTGCATCGCCTCAGCTATGTGCAGTGAGATCGTGGTCTTGTGGTTCCTCCAGGATAACCGAGCCCCTTGACGTTTGCAGCTACGCAACACATGCCTCAAGTCTCCACTCTCCATGAACTCTGTCACCGCGGAAATGTGCTTCAAATTATCCCATGCCACGCCAATAAACTCGACTATACGTGGATGATGAAGCTCCGCCATGAGGATAATCTCTTTAAGAAACGCCTTGACGTCTTTGGGGTCTTGACTGCGGTCAGGACGGATCTTTTTTACGGCAACTTGACGACCTCTATACTCGCCCACAAACACCAAACCGAAGCCACCTTTACTTAGACATTTGTCCAGCTTGATGTCCTTGTAGTTGATACGATTGGTCACTATGATCGGGTCTTCGAGCAGCGCTTCAGTGGTGCTATTATCAGATATCGGGATGTTGACAGTCTCGTTCCCACTTCTGGCGAGATAGTAACTTGATGGTGACGATACTAAAGACGCCGATTGAGCGCGACGACGCGCACGCGATCGTTGCCAGAGTAACAAGATGACAAGAGTCACAATCAAACACCCACCGATGACCCCAACATACATTATGCAGTGGGTACACGTGCCGGAACTTGACTCTATAAAAACGGATTGTTAGATCGGAGGTGGGAAAATCTAATGGATGAAATTATCCATACCTGACGTCACGATGGTGCTGTTGGCTACACAGAACTTAGAGCTGTGTACTGTCTGCCATGTTCCACTAAGACATAGTGCGGACTTATCGGGGAGATCGGACTCGAAAGCTGTCAGACGCTTGATGGCATTGAACGTTGCGTTGCTGACGTTGAAATCCGTGATATCGTTGTGGGCGATATATCTGACAGGTGAACAGGTTAGAAACTTACACAATTAACTTAAAACCAATATGGTATACTCTTACAGTTCTTGTAGATTGTCGATGTTAAGGACAACCGACGGAAATGCAGTCAGGCTGTTATTCGTGAGGTTACTGGAGAATTGTTTTTAGAAAAATATTGCGGAGAAAAAAGGCACAAGAGCAGCAACTTACAGGGTTTCTATAGCGCAAAACTGGTTCGAGCATGAGCTCTGAATGGTCGAGCCAGCGTAAGGAACCGTTAAGGAATTCGAAGACAGATCCCTGTACCACGACAGCAGTTTAAATAGGTCAGCATCAGCTCTTCACCGATTCGTTTTGAAAGGATATTTCAACGTACAAATGCTGCAAAGTGGTCACTCCGTCGAAGAAGTGGAAGCCGAAGCCGAACAAGTTACAGTTTCGAAGCGTGCTAGAGCATATTAATCCATAAGTATACTCGTAGATCAATGCAATTTAAGTAAAGATTACGTACAGGTTGGTTGTCGTAGGTGGAAGGAACGAAGACGCCGAGAGCGTGATGGAGAACATATTGATGTTGGTGATTTCCCTGCAGCCAGAGTATTAGTATACAGGCCAATGCAAACATGCAAACATAGCTCGTACACTGTAGAGATGGAGATTGTGCCGCTGATACTGGTAGCAATTGGCAAAATAGTCCCCGGTATGCGTCGATCCTCCGGCGTGAATTGAATATCCTGAGGCACGTTTCTGTCACCGATGATGCGCCTATATAAGACATCAGTGTCTACAGTACATCATACCATGAGGCAGCGTACTTACAGTGTCTTTAGCGTCGACGGGACCAGCATCGTCCTAATAGTGTCGATTGGTAGAATATCTGTCGACCTGAGCGTTGGCGGATATTCACTGTCATTACTCCGCTTAACGACGTGAAATTCCCACGTTTCGGAGTCGTTGTAGCCATTCTCCAAACACGTGCACGACGCGTCTATCGCTGTATAAATGCCCGGACAACCGAAGTTTGGTAGCTCGCCATCGGAACGTCGCTGAAGTGACGGTGCGCCGTTGCAGATAGTGTCGGTGCTAGACAAATTTTTCAAGTCGGAGCCCACTCCAACAGCCAATTGAGTCTCATTATCGCACACATTAGCGGTGAACCATTCCTGAGCCAGCTCTTGGGCGACCGATGTTGCAGGAATGATACCTACTTCTGAGCCCGCAAAAGACCCCGACGAGGAAGAATTCGTTGATAGTGACCCTGTTGCCTCCTGCGCCAGCGCTTCATAGATAAACGATACGATAGCAACCACTGCAAGCATACTACATCGTCTCGGTGTGAGCGCCATCGTGTCGAGTTCCCTACTGTTGGCCAACAACAGTGGGCGGCGCAGGGATACGGCTCTGCCGTTTACATGGCGATAGAGAGTGCAATGTGAGCCTGATAAACGAAATGGCTTATTATACTTCCGTCGTGGCGGATGTTGTGCAAACCAGAGAGGTTTTCCTGTGTATGTAGAGGCTGCTCTTATCCCCAAGCCTCAATAGCGTACCTAGTCACACCCGACCTGCTGGTGAACAGCGACAGTCGAGAATCTATTCGTACACATACTTCCACGTCAGCCAGAAATACAGCAATACATGTATTAACCCTTTCGCGAGGAGCACATATAAGCCCATTTTTTCTATACTATACAGGTCAAGTCAATAAGAGCTAAATTCGCCCTTTAGGGTATTGGTAAAGACGGGGATGGTGTGCAAATCAAGCTTGATGCAGTTTGATGTGGTGTATTTTGCCCTAAAAGGGCGAATTTTGCGCCCTTTAAGGTAGCATTATGATTGGCTAATAAGTGAACACTCAGACAACTCGAGGTCGATTCTATTATGATTGGTCAAAACAATTCGGTACAGCGTACCACCGCTGAAATAGAACGGCGAAACTTACGAAGATATTCGCGCTACTGACCGTTTTCTGGATGATGACTTGTCAAAGGATTATGCCCACGCTGCTGCAGCTTCCGAAGGTCGCGCCATTATGTAGTATTGTGGTGTTGACCGGCGAGATCATGCCGCTGGTTTCCCGCGATAACATGTAAGCCGCTATACGTTTGTGGGTGCTTTTGAAGATGCTGTTTCAAGCGTCACCTTTAGTTTTGAAGCTATAGGTGCTCAAGGTTCCGATTTGAGCGTGTAGAACACTAGGTTGCATATGTGTCTTTTCCAGTATGGCCGGCGATGGTGTAACTACAACGCGGTGCAGTGGTGCATAAATCTTATGCTTTGTATTTGAATGTGGCATTTTGTATACTAGAATTGCCGCGCAAACTTGGCGCCCAAATTATGGAGCTACCCCAAAAATTTATTGTTTCTTTGTTTGAATGTATATAAAAAAACAAGTCGTGATGGAATATATGTATTTATGTACCCTTATACTCTCCACGAATAGGCGACGCGTATCAGCCGTCCATCCGTCCCCGCCCTCATTTGTAAATCAAGCAGAAAATGTCGGAAGTGCCGCGTGGCCAGAAGCGCAGGCATGAAGGCACTGATATGGCAAGGAAGCGTCGACGCGTGCGTACCGGTAGCGAGGAGGCACCTGATGAGACAGCGAGCAGCCTCGGGGGCGTTGCTGTGTTCAACAGCGAGTGGCGAGTGTTGGCAAAGGCCGGGTGGACGTCCAAGCAGCCTTCTACCAAGTCTTTGGACACACGCTACAAATACATTCGGCCTGGAAGGCGACACGACGGCGAAGAGGGGACTGACTACCTAATTGGAGAAATGGCCGTCCTAAGGTACATTGCGAAGACGCGCCTCCTCGAAGTCGGTGCTGAAGAAGGTATTGAAGGCGGAGGCCGAACTGAGGGGTGCTGAAGACGCCGTGGACTAATTGTGTTTTGTTTTGCTTTTGATATAGGCACCGGCGCTGCCAACGACGATGAAAGAGGCGAGTGCGGCGATCTTGGAGCAGGTGCAGCTCCCGGTGAGGCGGCAGCGGTCGGGCCGTGCCGCCGATATGGGTGCTGGTGTTTCCGGCAGCCGGCGCCGGGTGCCGCGCGTGGAGCGAGAGGAGGGGCGTGGAGCTCGGAAGAGGGCGTGGCACTTCACGAGAAGTGAGCGGCGGAAAGCGCTGAAGGTGTAGGTTAGGCTGTGACGGTGGTGCGGTTCTAGTTACTAACTGTGTGCATTGTTGTTGGTGCAAGGTGGAACGTTTGGCGATGCTGCGATGGCTGATGTCTGCCGTGCTGGTGCTATGGGTGCTGACGTTCTAGCAGCCGGCGCAGGTGCCGCGCGTAGAGCGAGAGGAGGGCGTGGAGCTCGGAGAGGGCGTGGCACCTCACGAGCAGCGAGCGGCGGAAGCGCTGAAGGTGTGGGTTAGGCAGTGACGGTGGTGCGGTTCTAGTTACTAACTGTGTGCATTGTTGTTGGTGCAGGTGGAACTTTTGGCGATGATGCGATGGCTCATGTCGGCCGTGCCGGTGCCGCGCGTGGAGTGGGAGGAGGGCCTGGAGCCCGGGGAGGGCGTGGAACCCGCGGCGGTCGTGGAACCCGAGGAAGAGGTGGAACTCGAGGATGGCGCGGAGCTAAAGGAGGGCGTGGAGGCCCTCGAGCCACGAACGCTGCCAGCACTGAAGGTGGCGGCAGTGCAGTTGGTGTTGTCGACTTAGCCGTCAGAGCCGGGCATGTAACGCTAGCAGTGCGAGAAGGACTTGGTGCACAAGGAGGGCATGGGGGCCGAGGAGCTCTTGAAGTTCCGCGAATCACTAGCGGCCCAATATCCGAAGGTGTGTTTATGAGTTTGGTATTGGTTTTAACCACAACGTAACAATCTGTTTGTTGGTACTGCAGACGCACGGGGCCGTGATGTTGGTGGAACTACGGTGCAGACAGTCAGTACTGGTCGCGAGATCCAAGGCCAAATTGCTGTAGGCCTAGAATCACCACAACCAGGGCGCGCAGCACCAACTGAGACAGCAACTCCTACACGTACGCCTCCCGTCATGCTGCAGGATGTCTACGTGGACAAGCTAGTTGCATTTTCGCCCGAAAAAGATCGATGGATGAAAGCAAAGGTCTACAGACCAATTGGCACGGCGTACATTATTGGTCGTGTGTATCGCCTAGTCAAAAAAGGGAAGAACGCTTCGCTGTTCCAGATTCTATGGCTAGACAGTCAGTTCCAGAGCGCTGTGGAGCATATCAGCGTTGGGATGGTGCAGGTTGGCATCAAAAACTACACTGTGCTTACACGCGTAAAGAACCCGGATTGGAGAATCCTCGTACGTCCCGATCCCACTGGAGATCGACTTTGAGGAAAATGATTCAGATTGCGAAGAAGAAGAAGTACTTGAAGCTTTCGATCCGACTGAGTTACTTCCAACCAGCCTCGTTGAAGTTGAAGCAATCAGAAGCATGCGCTTTGTTCCGTCTGGAGAAGTTCAGATGCCTTCGTATATGTACAAGCACGGTGATGGATCGACACGAAGCTACTTGCGACCTGAGTTTAAACATTTGTTTGAGCATTCTGCCAGTTCCAGCTTCTTTGCCTACATACCGCTTTACTTTTGGCGTCAAGTGCTGCATGAAACTAACAAGTACGCCGTGGTGAACGGCATTGGGCTGGCGAACCAGCTCACACTTGACGAGCTCATGATTTTCCTGGGCATTCTATTCTTCATGGCAACGAACGATAAAGGCGAGTACGCAAATTACTGGGGTCTACAAGCGGAGGATCTAATTTTTGGTGGTGTTACAACTTCGCTTGATGGCATCATGACGCTGCATCGCTTCAAGCTACTGTGGCGATGTCTGAGCTTCAATGCGGTCCCTAACACACTAGATCAAGATGCTGCAGCTCGCATCCGACCTCTTCTAAACCTGCTAAAGATCACTGGTGGTCAGTATATTCGCGTTGGTCGAGATGTTGCGCTAGATGAAGCAAGTGTTGCGTGTCGTTCGCGTCAAGGTCGCCACATGATCGTGTATAATCCCATGAAGCCTACTGGGAAATATTGTTTCCGGCTGTACATGGTGTGCTGCTCTACTACGTGGGTCGCGCTGAATTACAAACTTCACTGCAACCGAAGCGACATCTTGGACAGACTGAATGGTGTAGTTGACCAAGTTGAAGCGCAAAACCTGCGAGAGGAGCTGGAGGAAGTATCTAAAATCAGACAGCATGTGTTGGAGGTAACAAGACCGCTATTCGGAACAAATAGGGTTGTCAACATGGACAACTATTATACGTCCGTGCAGATTCTCCAGGAGCTCCGACTGAAAGGCCTCTATGGTCGCGGCACTATCCGTGCCAGCAGCAAACATTTCCCAGGTCACACTATTCTTCACAAAGACGACTTTACCCGAGGGGACTATCGCCAAGCTGTCTCGCACGATCACAGCATGCTTGCAGCGTCATGGTGCGACGGTAGCGTGGTCAACCTTGTGTCCAATGCGGACTCAACGAACATTACAACTATCACCCGCATGGTTGGTAACGAGAAGCAGTCGTTTCCAGCTCCAGAGTGCGTCGCTCAGTATAATACCAATATGCAAGGTGTTGATCGCCTTGATCAAATACGCGGGCGATTCTCTACTGCAGATGGTCATTCGTACAAACGCTGGCACAAGAAGTTGGCGCTCGCGCTCATCGATGTGGCGCGCTCCAACGCGTATCTTACGCGACGTTTGGTACGGGCGGAGCCAGCAACGCGTGATCCCCATAGAAAGTTTGTGATGGAGCTAGTTGGTGAGCTTATCAATGGACAATGGAAGAATGCACCCAGCGACGGTCGCATGCTGTACAGCGGAGAATTGGGTGACGGAGGAGAAGGAGACCAACTCGACACGCCCTCTTCCCAGCCCTCTCCTAGTGTAGTTGCTGTGCTCCCGACAACTGCATGTACTTCCGTGGCTTCGAGGCAAATTCATGCCGAGAAGAGCAGAAAGCGGCGCCGCTGTATTGTTTGCCGATGGGAGGGACGATATCCTACCGAGGTAACCAACTATTGCCTCACGCATGGTGTCTGTTTGTGCCGAGTTGTGCACGACCGCCCCGCCAAGCCATGGATGTGTCCGTCGACGACTTCAACATGCTGGGATTAGTTCCACAAATTCTACTACCCTAACGCATTGTTTACAGATAAGGGAAATGTGAGGCGACACTCCAAACTCGCCAAGTCGAAGGATGCGCACGAGCCCAGGTCTCAAGTAGCAAGGCGGTCCGCTACCGCTCGCCAAATTGCGTACGGGGCAGATCTCGGAGGTGCCCTCGCTCACGCACTTGACAACGAAGGCGATGATGCTACACAGGGTCTTGCTGCTTTCGAGGTTAGCGGTAATACTCCGCCAGGGT